AATGGTGGGATTGCAGAAGCAGGGGGCTACAAGGCCTATTTGGAACGTTTTTGGCAAGTAGGGCCAGAGACTCTTGCCGAACTTCTACAGAAACTTGATAGATCAAGTGATCATGTTGATTGCCTTATTTATGATTCATTCTTTCCTTGGACTCTAGAGGTTGCCAAGAGATTTGGGATAGTTGGAGCTGCATTCCTCACTCAAAATATGTCTGTCAATAGTATATACTACCATGTTCAACAAGGAATGCTTCGAGTTCCCCCCACAGAAAATGAGATTAACCTTCCTGCGTTGCCTAAACTTCAACTTGGGGACTTGCCTTCTTTCTTGCTCTCTACAGATGAAGATAATCCACTTTTTCTTGATTTGGTAGCGGCTCAGTTCTCCAATATCGACAAAGCTGATTGGATCCTTTGCAATTCATTCTACGAGATGGAAAAGGAGGTTAGCAGCTCAAGTCATATAACACTATTAGACTCACACACACACCCACATAACTCCATCATTTGATCTTATGTTATTTTTCTATTTCCCAAATAAGTATTTTTTTGACATGTAAAGGTTGGTTACTACAAATTGCTTGTAGGTAGCTGATTGGACAATGAAGATATGGTCCAAATTTAGGACCATAGGACCGTCCATACCATCTATGTTTTTGGACAAGCGACTTAAAGATGATGAAGATTATGGTATTGCTCAATTCAAGAGTGAAGAGTCCTTGAAATGGTTAGATGACAAGCCAAAAGGGTCTGTTGTTTATGTTTCTTTCGGGTCAATGGCAGTACTCAATGCAGAACAAACGGAGGAACTAGCTTGTGGTTTAAGAGATAGTGGACGTTATTTCTTGTGGGTGGTGAGAGCCTCTGAAGAGACTAAACTCCCCAAAGATTTTGAAAAGAAGTATGAGAAAGGCTTGGTAGTGACATGGTGCTCACAACTAAAAGTTCTAGACCATGAGGCTGTAGGATGTTTTGTAACACATTGTGGTTGGAACTCTACATTGGAAGCTTTGAGCTTAGGAGTGCCAATGGTTGCAATACCACATTGGTCAGATCAGAGTACCAATGCTAAGCAAATTGTGGATGTCTGGAAAACTGGAATCAGAGCTGCGTTTGAGGAGAAAAAGATTGTGAGAGGAGAAGAATTGAAGCATTGCATAAGGGAAATAATGGAGAGTGAGAGAGGCAAAGAGTTGAAAACAAATGCCATGCAATGGAAGACTTTGGTTGGAGGAGTTTTTGGTAAGGATGGAAGTTCTCAAAAAAACATTGCAGAATTTTTGAACAGCTTGTTCAATTTACTACCAACATGAATCACAAATTATTTCTTGATAAACCAAGAAGTTCTTATTTATTGTTCACTGTGGTGCTCCATTGCAATGATGCGTGTACATGGCCTTATTTCTTGCTAAACAAATTATTGGAACATTGTAAAATGAAGTGTGGTGCGTCATAGTTTACTAGCTTTCGTATGCATTTCTGCTTGTACTTGGCTTTATTTCTTGCTTGTGGCCTTTCTTTATTGTTTTATGTTGTATTTTATTCCCCAGTTTATGCTTGCTCCAACTAATGTATCATATTTTTCAGTTGCTTTCTCAATAAAATTTTAGCTTTTCATAGAAGGTTCGTTTAACAGTTATAATGAACCAATGCCTTTGTTTAGAAAACAACTTTTTTTTCTTCATAAACTAAAACATAAAATAAAATTTGTTTGATTATCTATTGTTTATTTGATTGTTTTAAAAACTTGTTCTTCATAATTTATTTTTAGAATATAAAAATAACAACATATTTTATATGCTTTTATTTTCTTATTCTTATTTTAATGAATTTTCTACTATTACTTCAAATCACCACAGTTTCTTATGGATTTTCTACTGTCATTTCAAATCCATAAAAATAATTACCCTAATTACATATAGTGGTGAGACATACAGTTTAACATTTTTATCTTTATTTATATTTCTTTATATCATTTACAGAGCAAAAGCAGAGCAATCATTCCAAAGAAGAACTTAGAATGGCATTCACATTTAAAACTTCTTACCTTAGCGTTTACACCAAACAAAAAAGATATTTAAATACTCCAGCTGAGCTACAAATTTTGTGCAAGACTCCTTTGAGTAGATATACACATTAGGATGATTAAACTTGCAAATCCTTGATGATTCTTGTTCAATCCTTCTTTAATTTTTTGAATGTATATGGCCGTTGGGATGTAATTTTCATCAAATCTAGCCATTTCAGGGTCAAAACTACCAAGTGTTTTGAATGTTTAGGTCTCAATACAGTGTTTTGTTGTTTTGAATGTTATTTCCAGAAATGACACACCATGTGTCTTTTTACAACAATTTTGAAGAAAGTTCCTACTCTTTTTTAATGAAGATACAAGAAATTTGAAGAAAAGATACAAAAGTTTCTAAAGAAAAAAAGTTACAAACACTCTAAAAGTTAAAATTATTTTGACATTAAAATGTATGCATTTTTCATAAAAACTCTTGAAACTTTTACAGTTATAACTTCTTTTTTCAAAATTTATTGCACCCCAAACAATTTGTCAACAATAAATTACAAGTGTTCTTTTAAATGAAACAAGCTATTCACAAATTCTGTAATGTTTTTATGAGAACTTCCACCCTCACCAACAGCTCCTGCAGCCAAAGTCTTCCATTGCATGGCATGGCTCTTCACTTCTTTACCTCCCTCACTCTCCATTATATCCTTTATACAATGTTTCAATGCTTCTTGTCTCACAATTTGTTTCAATGCTTCTTATTTTATCATTCAGTACACCTACTCATATTTCATTTTAATTGTTTAAAAAATTAATTATTTAAAATGACTTTTATATATCGAGATTTGCGACAGTTGTCAGTCGAATTGCATAATAGAAAAGTGCTCCTGCATGTGAAAGTTTGTTGGCTTTTGGAGTTGTTTAGATTTGTCTAATGTTGTTATATTTGGTGTTGTTTATTGGAACATTGTAAAATGAAGCGTGGTGCGTCATAGTTTACGAGCTTTCCTTTGCATTTATGCTTGTACTTGGCTTTATTTCTTGCTTGTAGCCTTTCTTTATTGTTTTATGTTGTATTTTATTCCCCAGTTTACGCATGCTCCATCTAGTGTATCATATTTTTCAGTGTGCTTTCTCAATAAAATTTTAGGTTTTCATTGAAGATTCATTTAACAGTTATAATGAACCAATGCCTTTGATAAGAAAACAGCTTTTTTTTTCTTCATAAACTAAAACATAAAATAAAATTTGTTTGGTTATCTATTGTTGAGATAAGTTATTCTACTTACATTTTCTCTGCCTACCTTTTTACCTATCACTCTTCACCACCATTAGATCATAATCTGAATCTCAATAGGAGAAAGAAATGATAAAGGTAGTTGAGATTCTGATATAAGGTATTGGAGATTCGTAAGGCAAAGATAAGCAAAAAAAAAAAAAAACAAAGTAGAATATTGTTTATTTGATTGTTTTGAAAACTTGATTTTCATAATTTATTTTTGGATTTGATGTTTATCCTTTTAAAGGATATAAAATTGTGTCTTTTTAACTAAGAAAAAGAGATATACAATGAAAATCATGAGCGGAGAAAATGAGTGCTTTTTATTTATTTAAATTTTAAAAAAAAATTATTAGTTTTAATTAAAATGACCATTCTTTAAAATGACAAATATTTTTCTCTTTTATTTTTTAGGATTGAAAAATAACAACGCTTTTTAGATTTTTTATTTTCTTATTCTTATTTTAAAGAATTTTCGACTATTACTTCAAATGACCGCAGTTTTGTATAGGGTTGGCAAAACGGGCCAACCCGGCTCAACCCGACCCAACCCACATGCAATCCGAAAAAAATGAGTGGGTTAGGGTTGACTCGAAAAAAGAAAGAGCCAGAAAACCCGATCCGAGTCGGGTTAGGGTTGGCTCGCGAGTTGGCTAAAAAATATGACTTATGGGTTGACTCAAAAAAATGGCTCACGGATTGGATCAAAAATTGGCTTGTAGGTTGGCACAAAAATGGCTCGCGGGTTAGCTCGTTTTCAGCCAATATAAATGAACCTGTAATATTAATCCACTAGCTATGCGACTTCCATCAGCTTAAACAATACAATTGTCTTACAAAATAGTTTATAAAAAAAGCAAAATAGAAAGTTACATAATGAGAAGTAAAAGCAAAATGTTCTAGTTTCGAATTTTTTTCACAATAAATTTGCACCAACATCGAGAAACAATAAGAACCACTTGTTACCAAGTGGGTAAGATATTTGAACCAAACAGAGCCAGCACAGTCTAACAATATAAAAATGGCAGCAGAAGATTAGGAACTTAGGTTTAGAGAAGAAAAAGACGATGACAAGGTATGTGGGTTTTGTCCATTTTTGTATATTATATTTTGTATTTTTTTATAACAAAAAAACTCAACCGGAAAATTAGCTCATTTTTTTTCAAGTTGGCTCGGGTTAGTAGCTTATTTTTGTCAACTCAACCCGACTCATTTTTTACGGGTTACGAGGCAACCTGACGGATTGACTTAATTTTGTCAACCCAACCTGACTTATTTTTGACGAATTACGAGCCAACCCGACTGATTGGCTCATTTTTGCCAACCCTAGTTTGTATGGATTTTCTATTGTCATTTCAATTCCATAAAAATAATTACCCTAATTACATATAATGATGTGACGTACGATTTATCTTTTTCTTTTTCTTTTTATTTCTTTATATCATGTACAGAACAAAAACAGAGCAACCATTCCAAAGAAGAACTTAGAATGTCATCCACATTCATAATTTCTTATCATAGTGTTTACACCAAACAAGTTACAAACATTCCAAAGTTACAATTATTTAAACATCAAAATGTAACACCAAACAAGTTACAAACATTCTAAAGTTACAGTTATTTAAACATCTTTATGTAACTTTTAGAGTTATAACTCTCTCTTTTTCAAATTTATTGAACCCCAAACAATTTGTAAACAATAAGTTGATCAAGTATTAATTTGTGATTCAGGGCTGCTTCTCGTTAAATGAAACAAGCTATTCACAAATTCTGCAATGTTTTTTTGAGAACTTCCGTCCTTACCAAAAACTCCTGCAGCCAAAGCCTTCCATTGCATGACATGATTCTTCACTTCTTTGCCTCCCTCGCTCTCCATTATATCCTTTATACAATGTTTCAATGCTTCTCTTCTCACAATTTGTTTCTCATCAACTGAAGCTCTGATTCCTATTTTCCAAACATTTACAATATGCTTAGCATTGGTCGCTTGGTCTGACCATTGTGGCATTGCAACAATTGGAACTCCTAAGCTCAGAGCTTCCAATGTAGAGTTCCAACCACAATGTGTTACAAAGCACCCTACAGCCTCATGTGCTAAAACTTTTAGTTGGGAGCACCATGTCACTACCAAGCCCTTCTCTGACTTCTTTTCAAAACCTTCGGGGAGCTTAGTCTCTTCCGAGGCTCTAACCACCCACAAGAAGTAATTTCCACCGTCTCTCAAACCACATGCTAGTTCTTTTGTTTGCTCCTCATCGAGCACTGCTAAACTCCCAAAAGAAACATAAACAACAGACCTTTTTGGCTTGTCATCTAACCATTCCATGCATTCTTCACTCTTGAATTGTGCAACACCATAATCTTCATCATCTTTAATTCTCTTGTCTAAAAACATGGATGGTATGGATGGTCCTATGGTCCTAAGTTTCGACCAAATCTTCATTGACCAATCAGCAACCTATTAGTAATTTCGAGTAAACAACTATTGCATACTGAAAATATTTATTGAAGAATAAAAACAAAATAAAATTGAATTTTAACATAAAATTTTCTTGTGAAAATGGGAGAGTTGGTTTGGTTCATGAAAATTAGTGTTACAAGATTTCAGCTGCATACCTCTTTTTCCAGCTCGTAAAAGGAATTGCACAAGAGCCAATCAGCTTTGTCAATGTTAGAAAACTGACCCACTAAGAGTTCAAGAAAAGATGGATCTTCTACATAGTTAAAGAAGAAAGATGGCATGTCCTTAAGTGTAAGTTGGGGCAGTGCAGGAAGAGAAATCTCTTGCTCAGTAAGGGGAGCATGGAGCTTTCCAAGGTGGAAATGGTAGTATATACTATTGACAGCCAAATTTTGAGTGAGGAAAACAGCACCAATTATACCAAATCTCCTTGCAACTTCTAGAGCCCAAGGCATGAATGCATCATATATAAGACAGTTAACAGGGCAGTTTGACCTAGCAAGTTTCTCAAGAAGCTCCACAAGAGTGTGTGGCCCTACTTGCCAAAAGCGTTTCAAATAGACCCTTAAGCTTTCTGCTTCTCCAATCCTACCATTGTCAAAACCATCGGATATGGTCTCAAGTGCAATGGAATCTGGCAGTTTGTGCAAGTTCTTGCTGTAGAAAAGGGTGGTGACCAGTGTTACTCTCACCCCTTCATGATGTAAAAGCTTTGAGAACTGAAGCATGGGATTAATGTGACCTTGAGCTGGATATGCTAAGACCAAACAGTGCACTTTGTTGGCTATGCTTTTCCTCTCCATTTCTCTGATAAACTCTTTGTTAACTCTCTTTGTCTTATACATAGCAAATGAGAATTTGACACGGAAATTATGACGACTTGTAAGACAACTAGTGGCGTGTGATCATTAATGTAAGAACTTCAATTATTTTTTGGCCTTTTATTATGATTGTTGTATATTGTGTTAGGAAATACTGGAGGGTCAACATCACCATTACAGAAATTAAAAGTTTATTAAAGAATTTTTTAACCCAAAAATTTAATTTATTGAATAAGGTTATAATAATTGTTTTATATTTTTTTATTACGCCCTCACATATAACACTCCATTGATATTGATGGGTGAATGATGCATTAGGCTAGCTTATTTGTGCTAAAAAATTCTATAATATTTATCTATAATATTTAATTATTTTTATAAATAGAATAGGACGGTGAGTCGAAGTGACAAAGTCGAGCGTCCCACCATCAATCTGTCAAAAAACGAGTCAACTTGTTCCGCATGCTTTTGAAAGTGGGTTAAAAATCTCAGTCGGTCTTGTCCTATTCGGAGAGCGGGATGGGTAGGCCCACCCCAGCCAAAGCTGTTTTACATTATAAAAAAAAGGTTAGGCAAGTTGGTGGGTTAGGCCGGTTGTAAAAATCGGCCCGCCTCCCCCGTTTGGCGGTCGAAGTGAGTCGACCCGTCGGACCAAACCTATTTTGCCAGCCTTATATCGAACTAATGATCACTAAGTCATATCAGCTGTAATACCATATAAAGAAATTAATTCAATTCAAAAATTAAATCTTACACTAATTTTTATAAGGGCAGATTATATTTACAAACTTTTTTGTTTACAAACTCTTACAAATTACACTAAGTACGACCGGTCATACTTTAATCATGCAGTGTATGACCGGTTGTACTTAATGTAATTTGCAAAAAAAATTGTAAACGAATTCTATCCCATTTTTATAATCACAGACTCTTATGGTATTAAATAATTGATTCGACTATTATCATTCAGTACATCTATTCATATTCCATTTTAATTGTTTAAAATATTAATTATTTAAATTGACTTTTATATCGAGATTTGCGACAGTTGCCAGTCGAATTGTATATATAATAGAAAATTTCTCCTGTGGGAAACCCCAAAAAAAATAAAAAATAAAATTGATCCTGTGAAGGTCTGATGGCTTTTGGAGTTGTTTAGATTTGTCTAACGGTAATAGTTTTCTTATGTTGTAGAAGATATGTATTATCTCCTACACACTCATTGGTGCAAGTGGGGTCCATTTTTAGGGGAAGAGAGAGAAAAAGTAAAGTGGGACCCATTTTGAGTTTGTTTGTGTAGGAGATAGATTATATTTTATGCAACATAAGAGTAATAAATCCCTTTGTCTAATGTTGATATATTTGATTTATTTTTTTCCAATTTACTAATAAAATTTTTAATTTTTTCTTAGACTATTCATGTATGTGTTTGTTGCGACTTCGACAAGTGCATCGGTCATATCAGTATTAAAGTGATAAGAAAAATTGTCGATCCCACGAGGACCGATGACTAATTACTAATTTATCTATTTAATTAAAGTTGGATCGATTGTGAAAGATTGGTTTGAGAATATTTTAATTAAATTAAAACAGAATTTTTAAACTTATTTTTAGTTTTCAATATTTAAGAAATTAAATTCAGAAATAATAATGCTAGAAAATTGGTTTTAAGTTTTTATAAAAAACGTAGCTAGGACTCAACTTCCCCAATGTTTTCCAAACTAGTCTGCCTATTCTTGTAATCAAATTCAAGATACAGTTATTAACAGTTCTTTCTATATTCGATTAAATCTTAATCCCTTAGTAATCCAATTCTTTACTCCACTCAAAAGCCTCCCTTAGTACTTTTTCATAAAGTAAGCATTAACACAAGAACATTCAGTTATAGAATTCGTAAGTCTATCCCTAGATCATACAAATTCCTGCAATCAACCAATGGAAATCGATACACCAACATCTCTATTGTCATGCACGACTCGTATGTTTATCTACGAGTGGTCAGTTCATAAATAAAGCTAATCAATAAGAAACAGATTGATTGCATAACTTTAAATCATGAATATAAATTATAAGAAAGGCAAGCAGCGTTCAAGAACTCATTAGTTCCGTCTCGTCCTAACTACTTAAAGAAAATTAGCTTGACATAGTCAGGAAAACAAGAACAATAGATGAAAAGAAACTAAAATTCATAAATGAAAATAAAACTCAGTCTTCACGGTGAAGCTCGTTCCTTCGCTCTTCTGCCTTCTGAATGCGCTCCTCTACATCCTCTTCCGAATAATTCCCTCTTCACAGCCTTCTTCGCGTTCTATTTGAAGGCTTAAAACTGGGCCTTTATTTCTGGGCTAGCTCGCTGAAGCGAGCTGCTCAACGAGCAATTTTCCTTTCCTCGCTCACTTGATCGCTGAAGCCAGCATCAGAGCGAGTTTGATTATGCTTCTCGCTAACTTGCTCGCTGAAGCGCGAAACAGAGCGAGCGTGTTTTATAATTATTTATTTTCCTATTTTTCCTTGATATTCAGCCGATACCAACTGTTTTCTCATCCTCATCAGGTTAGTAATTTGTTATTCCTAGTATAAAACAACCTCAAACAACAAAAATGATTATGATCTTATCTAGTTGTTGACATTTTACTAACTTTTAATATTTTATTAATTAACACTATATTTTTAATTATATTAATTATTTTTTGAACTATATTTGACATTAAAAACATAATGTCTTTGAAGGAAAGGGTTGGGGTAGTTTCACGTGCACGATTTGAAGGAAGGAGAAATTGTTAAATTTATTTGAATAATGTTGAGGAGAACACCATAGATGTGATCATATTTCGAAAGTAAAGATGTTGTGTTTCTATTATTGATTGAACCTTTTGTTGTGTTGATTCTTGAGTACTGTTGTGTTTTTTGTTTATTTTTCTTTGTACGAATATAGTAAAAAGATTTTAAGTTTTTAGCAGTATTGTTAGGAAAAGATTGCTAGTCAAGTATTCTTGACATGCATAATGTTTCTAAATTTCACAACCGTTATTTTTAATCTTTTAAAACTTTTAGTTTTCCAAAAAATAATTTTTAAATTTGTGGTTTCAATTTTTGTTTTCCCTTTGACTAAAATATTTTCATAAGCATTGTATTTTGCAAAATTGACCAAATTATAAGAAAATCCTACCGAAATTTTGATAGATTCTTCCATAGCCTTTTTGTATGTTGGATATATGTTGGTAGTGGTTAAGTGATACTTAATTCATAGTTTAGAGACTTGGGTGACTTAGGTTAGCTAATAGTTGATGCACCTTTCAACCTTTGTAATGTATTAGTCATGAGCCGGAGTTCATCGTGACAAAAATTATCAACTTTTTTTTTTTTAATATCTGAGTTAATTTTTTTTTTAGTACATATATCTGAGTTAATTTTGAAACTAGTTATAATGGTGGAGAGAAGGAGGGGCGATTATCCCGTTCAAGTTTATACTTTATACCACTCTTTAGATTTGAACATTATTTTTTATTTTTTCATTACATGCATAGTTAGTGATCGTCTCCTTTCAAAATTTATACAAGTCTTTAGTTGTAAGTATTATATTTTTTTTTTGTCATATAAATTGTTGTAATTTAAAAAAACATGTAAGTTACTCTTTTGCCCCTATATATACAAAAAAATTTGTTCCCGCATTCTAGTTATGTCAACAATTTTTGTTCGTTTGTACGTTATTTCAAGCCAACACTATATATGTCGTTGAAGGTTGGCATGCATTTTCACAAATGTAAGGGTGACCTACAGAATAGATTGCTGATGATGTACAACGGTAACTCTTGACTAGAGTTCCACATTTACATAAATATTTGAATATTCTTATAGAAAAGAAACGTTTGTCCATAATTACCCTAATTACATATAATGATGTGACATACAGTTTAACTTTTTTATTTTTCTTTATATCATGCACAGAACAAAAAACAGAGCAACCATTCCAAAGAAGAACTTAGAAATTAGAATGTCATCCACATTCATAATTTCTCATCATAGCGTTTACACCAAACAAGTTACAAACTTTGTAAAGTTACAATTATTTAAACATCAAAATGTAACACAAAACAAGTTACAAACATTCTAAAGTTACAATTATTTAAACATCAACATGTAACTTTTACAGTTATAACTTTTTTTCTTCAAATTTATTGAACCCCCAACAATAAGTTGATCAAGTAGTAATTTGTGATTTGCTTGTATTTGTCAAATGAAACAAGCTATTCACAAATTCTGCAATGTTTTTATGAGAACTTCCGTTCTTACCAAAAACTCCTGCAGCCAAAGTCTTCCATTGCATGGCATGGTTCTTCACTTCTTTGCCTCCCTCGCTCTCCATTATATGCCTTATACAATGCTTCAATGCTTCTCGTCTCACAATTTGTTTCTCATCAACTGAAGCTCTGATTCCCGTTTTCCAAACATCAACAATATGCTTAGCATTGGTACTCTGGTCTGACCAATATGGCATTGTAACCATTGGAACTCCTAAGCTCAAAGCTTCTAATGTAGAGTTCCAACCACAATGTGTTACAAAACACCCTACAGCTTCATGGGCTAGAACTTTTAGTTGTGAGCACCATGTCACTACCAAGCCCTTCTCTGACTTCTTTTCAAAACCTCTGGGGAGCTTAGTCTCTTCAGAGGCTCTAACCACCCACAAGAAGTAATTTCCACTATCTCTCAAACCACAAGCTAGTTCCTCTGTTTGCTCCTCATTGAACACTGCTAAACTCCCAAAAGAAACATAAACAACAGACCCTTTTGGCTTGTCATCTAACCATTCCATGCATTCTTCACTCTTGAATTGTGCAACACCATATTCTTCATCATCTTTAATTCTCTTGTCTAAAAACATGGATGGTATGGATGGTCCTATGGTCCTAAGTTTCGACCAAATCTTCATTGACCAATCAGCAACCTATAAGCAATTTCGAGTAAACAACTATTGCATG